TGTATTCAGAGAAGCTTTTTTGTGTTGAGGAATTGAAGTTGAACATCCCAAAAGAGATTGCGTTTGGCTTTGTTGTATCAGATGCATACCAGGTCTGGTTCCCAACATTCCTGCCCACAAATTAATCAGCCCAACTCATGATTGGTCCATTGTGATGTATCAAAGAATCATGGTCAGGTTTCCAAGCCTGCATGTGTGACTGATGATGTTTTCACCAACCAACCTACCTGCCCCCTCTTCCCATGATGCCACCACTTCTTCTTTTTTCAGGTATTTGGTTTTGTTTTTAAACAAAACACAGAGCTATCAAAGCCCTGCTGTTGCGGCTGTTGATTTTAGACGGGTTACCAGTTCCACTTCTTTTGTGTCACCTTTCACCTGTGGGGGGGCCTGAACGCCTGAACAAATCACAGTGCGATTAGCGTTGGTGACCAGACCATCCATAAGTGGCTACCAGGCCGTAAAACAACAAACCCTCCACTGATCTTGTGATTGTTATGTCAATAACCATACTTAGGGGAGCAATCTGTGTCATTAATACACACATCTTTTATTTTTATTATATAAATCTAATTTCCCCTCTTTTCCATTTTTTTACCCATTAATTTTTAACGTAAACAATAACAGTATTGAGTTGGTTATAACCCAGGATGTACAACTTAATTGACATTGACTTTGAGATTTTTGGAGTCCAACCCCCCCCCCCCCCCCCCCCCCCCCCCCAGTCCTGCCAGGCAAGATTGTATTGGGTATCAGAAATGGTCCTACAACACAGTTGGTTTTTGTTGGTAATTGTATCTAAATATTGTGGTATTGAAAAGCTGTGCTTTGGAGGCAGGAAGGGGGGAGGTGAAAAGGTTTGGCATTATTTGAGTGGATATTGACAGCAAGTTGTCGGTTATTGATAGACTTGATAAAACCAAACATTGCCACACATCTTAAAAGATTGTAGTTTTGACTAAACCGGTCCAAGATTGAATGAGGAGGTTGGGGGGGGGGGCAGTCCCATCATTGTCATCATGGTAACTGACTGGTCATGTGATTATTAGACCAATCAAAGACTTATTTTTGTGATTTTGATGCCTTTCATGCAAAGCTATTGATTCCAGTCGACTCAAGACCATGTCTTGCAATTTAGCAGACAAGCAGAAACAACTTAATTGAGCCAACCTGGGTGATCGTGTATAACCGTGGGGTTTAGTTTATAGCATGGCACACACTTTTTCCTTTATTTTTTCTCTCTCTCTCTCTCTTTACCCATCCCAGCAATCAAATTACTTCAAATTATGACGGGAGAAACACGGACAAAAGGCAAATGATGGCTGAATTTATTGGTTGATTGTGTTGGCCTGTGTCATTAGGAAATCACTTCATTGTGATATTGCTGGTATTTTGAGGGCCCCCCCCCCCCCCTTTCCTTTTGTGTGTGGCTAGCGCTATGGTTGATGCTGGCCCAATGCTAATTTGTCGTCTACATGTACCTTTTATGATTACATACTTGTACAATGTACTTGTCTATTGCAATTTATTACAGATAGTACATGTGCCTGTACATAGTGTCTGTGGATACTAGAAGTGTGCAATTTAACATGTACGTTTGTGTGCCAAAAGCTTGGTCAAATGTTTTTGTTCTTCTGCAATAGCACTTTTCAATTCTTCTGAAATTGCCCAGTTGCAGTTAAAACATGTACATGTACTTCTACATATTTACTTGGTTGCTCACAGCATATATACGGTACATGTACTTCTTTTAATACACAATGTACAGCAATATGTCATATGTTCATGTAGTTTTTTTACTTAGTACTGGTATTAGTCGAGAACGTTCTAGACTACAGAGATGCCACTTTTCAGGTTTTAACCTGAATTCAGGTTTTTCTTTCAAAAATGTGACAAATTAAAAGAGCTAGATTTGGTCTGAAACATCCAAAAAACACATTTTTGAAAGGGGGTAAGGGTAGTTTCAGGTTTTTTTAGTAGTGTTTCAGGCTTTTTATTGATAGATTTGTGGCATCTCTGAGACTAATATTGTACATGTAGCAAAGTGCTCACATTTTTTTTTAAGCTTTACAAAAGTTATCGTTCTCCCTGCAAAAATAAGCCCCTTTTCATATCTCCTTGCCAACCTGTCTTTATTTAAAAGACACCATGCTGTGGAACAATATGGAACATATACATGACTTCACAAATCGACCAATCACACGTCAAGCCTAATTGGACTTGTGTAGCGCCTGATTTTTAATTACGCCTTGTTTGCCTGCCTCTACCCGCATTGATTCCAGCATCTTTTGTTGCATCCCCTGTCGTGAGTTCTGTTCTGTTCAGCCCGCCTTCAAACCTCCAGGGCTGAACGGAAATGAAAATTGCCATTTTCCAGCTCAATGGTTTCTCAAAAAGAGTAAAGAAAAGGGGGGGGGGTACTTTTTTTCCTTTTTTGGTTTTTGTGTTGTCGTTTTTGTATTAGTGTCAGTTTAGATTGAATGGTAGCAAGGAGTGGGCCATTTGACATTTATATTTCTTTTTCAGCTGTGTCAGGGACTAATTAGCGTAGCGTCCACATGTAAAACACGGCGCCGCTCACTTGTCAGTCTTCCTTCATTTGGGAGGCCGATATAAGGTGACTAATTTAGCCAGGAGGGACCACGGTTTTTGTGGGATTTTTTGGCCCCCTGAGGGTCAAGAGTACGTTGACCTTAGAGTAGATATGGGTATCTCGTTTTGTATCGTGATATGATTGGCCCAGGTCATTGGCCAAGTGTTTTGCATTGATGTTATAATGCCGTGTTTTGTCAGAACTGTTGTGTTCTTGCCATTTATTTTCTCCATTCGCTCATTGCAGGTTTAAATACATGTACAGTGTTTGTGTGATCGAAATACTTATATCAGCCACAGGAACCCAGATTTTTGTAACAAAAAATTATTGCAAGTCTTTTTTTTTTCTCTTTTTTCTTTTTTTTTGATCAGAAACAATCAGAACTAAAAACCTGTTATGGCCTTGTTAATCAATTTACGTCTAGAAAATCATGTTCAACTTCCAAAAATGGCTTCACCTTTCAATATAAATAATGTCCTTAAAACAGCTTATTTCTGATTTCCACATGTACATGTACACTCTCTGTTCTGCCATTCACATTTGCCCATGAACATCTCCCATGATCATAAGGCCCGGAGTGGCGGGGTGCCAGACTCGCTATCGGAGAGCACCATTCCATGGGATGCGGGGGCCACCCATCAAGAATTGTCAGAACCAATCAGCTTTCCCTACACTACCTATTTCTCCCATGCTGGGCCTGGCCATTTCGCACTAATAGCAGTCCATTCTGCATGTCAGATTGGGTTTATCTGTTACGGTTGCTGAAACTGACGGAACACACACAAAAAATCAGATCTGATGTTTTGAGATAGACTTAATACATGTACATGTAATAAGATTTGGTTGGTTAAAGTTAGATCAGTGAATTTTTTTCCGTGCAGTGTGTGACCGGTACTTCTCGAGCAGTACAGGGGGACTTGCAACAGAGCGGAGTTGCAGAGGTTTCTGCCAATTTAGACATTTCCAAATTATGGTTTTGGAATAATTATTTTATATGTTGAATACGTTCGATTCTGCCATTTCAGCAGATTGTCTTGCATTACATGTACGGCTAATAAATAATGCCCATGTCTATGTACGTGTTTGGCAGCCAACATCCGATTATTCTGTTAATTTGTTATAGATTTGTTAGTTCAGGAAAATAAAATGTTTCATCTTTTTTTCTATTAGATATTCTTAGGTGTCATACTTTAATTTGTCTTTTTAACCTGCATGTTGTGCATGACATTACGTTTACTCATGACGAATGACTTTTTTGTTGAACTATCTTGTGGGCGATTCATTTGTCGCATCACTCGTATGTTTTGAAGTCTACTGATATTCATGTCAGAGTTAAGCCCATTTTGCCTGATCAAAGAAATTTAACTACCGGTAGTAAATTGTCTTCAAAGTGAAAGGAGGTTACATGTAAAAACGATACGGTGTGACTGTATGGTGCTCCGTGTGTCACAGTCCTTTCCAGTTGAGTTGCAAATTCCTCTGTTAATGCATAATGTCACGCTTTGCAATTCCCAGCCCAGCAAGCTCTAGCAAGCCACCCCCCAGCTTGAGTTTCCCCTATGGCAACAGGGTGCCCACTCCCTCCAAATTGCCTAAGTGATTGGTCATATAAGCCACCAATTACCTCAATTCCTTGATACACTTGGCGTGCTTGGAGCTGTCGTCATCAGCCTTCCTCCTTCCCTCCCCCTACTCGGTGTCGGTGCCGCTGTCCTGACGAGAGACACTGAAACTACCTTCAAGAGGAAGAGAAATCAGGGCAGGTATTGGATCCACGGTTGGTCCCGCTACCCTGCCGTGAGAGACCGATTTGAGACATAGCAGATAAGAGGAGAAAACACAAAGGGAAGAAGTAAAACAGAAAAATAAAATTGACAGAAGCTGAAGAAGACAGATTGGAGCACTTGTTTGCCGCGTCAGTGACCCCGAGAACTTAAACGAGAGTGATTTTTTCGCGGGCCGGACGGAATTGAAGATGGATAATCGGGGAGACTCTGACGTAGGGTCCAAGCTAGGGGCTGGTATTCTGCCTAGCGGGATACCGTCCGGGACCCCGTTCTTCGGAGGTCAAAGCCCCAAGTTTTTTGGACAGCAAGGAGGGTTTTTGTTTAGCTGGAGGCTGGGAACAAAGTGAAATTAGTGTAGAACATCAGGGGAGCATAAAGCCCTGGGCGCAGGTTGAAAACTTGCAGCTGGCCCGTAACTTTAAAAAATGACAAACTGTTTTTGTTTTTTCCTCTCTCCCTCGTGTCATTATTGCAAACAAAGCATACATCGTGTTCAGTACCTGTATGGATTCATTTTGTGCATTTCATCTTTATATGCAAGCTGTCAGTCCCAAATATCAATTCAATCAAATCTGTTAATTTCCTATTTTTATGTTTTTATGTTTAATTTGTTTTGGTAGGATTATCTACAAGGTGATCCGAGTAAGGCCAAGACGATGATGGGATGGGAACCCAAGATCCTTTTCAAGGTGGGATTATCAGTGAGAACTTTATATTCTGAGGGCATTTTTTGACTAACTCAGGAGAAGTGCATGAAGACACTGTGAGGGCATGGTGTTGAACAATTTTTCATTCAAAGGGAAATGTTCAGCTTTGGAAAAATGAATTATTCACAAGACATGTGAGTGATGCAACCTGACGTAATGGCATTATGCTGGACAGGCAGTGCAGTCACTGTGTGGAACTGTGAACAAAATATATCAACATAGTGCAGGTAGTGAAGACGTTGTGTGAACTTGCCCACGTCCACACAGGGTTTTCCCCTCTGTGAAAAAAAAAACTTTTAAGAGGCAGTTTTGGTTTATGGTTATCAGTTGCAAAATGAATGGAACACTCAAGGAAATCATGCTACAAAATTTGGGTTGAATGAGTGCTCACAGTGCGGGTAAAAATATTTTTCCCCAGTTTTTCTTTATAACTACACGAATACAAAGGAATGTCCACACTAGTAAGGCAAACAGGGATGTGTTTAAAGGTAGAATACATCATTTGTCAATGTTTTCGTTTAAAGGAACAAACACGCTCAAAATCAAGAAGGGTACGTAACAACTAACCTGATGAAGTTTCAGCTCAGTGAATGCTGTAAATTCAGAGAAAACAATATTCTAGGATCTCGATTTCAATTCAAACGTTGCCAAGTCATGATTTGAATTGCGCCCGAAATCAGTGTCCGGGACACGTTCTCATTCAGTTGATTGCAGCTATGCGATGTCACGCTTTGAACTGACAAATTATTTAGCGTCGTGTCAACGCTTGCGCCCACTCATTCACTGCTTCACCGAATTAAAAATGAACTACTAACGGAAATTTCCAAAAGTATGTCTTGAGACGTATCTTTGGAAATAACCTTAGTTTATTGTTTTCGTTAAAATGGAAGCATGCCAGAAAGAATAATTTCATGGCACAGGGAATTTAGTCCCATTACTACAATGTATCTTTAAACCAAGTACCGGGTATGCTTTTAAACACAAATTTAGTCAGATTTTTTTTTTGGATAGCTGCAAATGATGTACTCTGCCTTTAATCACGTGTGTGTTTTTTGAATTGGAACAATGTGTGGATGACACTTCCCCACCAAAATGTACATATGGCTCCCATAAGAAAGCACCATTGTAGACAAACAGATGTCATTATACACGTATCTCTGGTGTTATTGCTGGCATACATTGTAACATTGCTCATTAATATTGGTTGAAGATGGACAAATGGATGTAAAGAAACTGGCAGCCAAATTTGAAATAGCGAAAATTTTGAATTGAGCATATATAGGGACATTGAATGCATCTTCAATGTTGTCAAAGTTTTTATAATTTCTGATTTTCTGATTTTTTTTAAAACTGTATAGTCTTACCGGTATGTCACTTGACTTACCTGTAGAGCCATTTACCAATGCTCTACAGGTAAGTATTCGTTCGTAGACCCCAACCTCACTTCTGAGGGGGGATTTTGACTCGTTCACATTTACAACATCAATTCAAACAACCAGCGCAGTAAATCACTTTTCAAACCTTTCTCCAGTGATTTAGAAAATACGTTACCAAAATTTCATCTATACATGTACATTGGGAGAATAAAGTTTGAAAGGAAAAGTTTTGTTCATTCTGTTTCCCGTTCTTTCTCTGAAACCACCCCCCCCCCTTCAATCTGCAGGATCTAGTGGTTGAGATGGTAACATCAGACATTGAATTGATGAAGAAGAACCCCACAGCCTAGTCCTTAGGATGTATCAAACCATCAAACAGACCAAACCAAACAGTGTGTGAGTGAGTGTTCTGAACAACCAGGAGTGCCTTGCAAATAAAGTAACCCAACAAAGTTTGATTAGTTGAAAGTTGAGAGATGGAAAACACACCTTATACCTTGTGTCCCATCAAATGGTCCCATGAGCCATGTTGACTGCGACAGAAACAGACTCTGGAAGTCGGACATGCTTTCATCTTCGTATGTGTTTTATTGGGGGGGGGTTTGGTGTAGAAAACTGTGGCCTTAATTTATTCATGATATTACCGGTAAATTACTGGCATTTATCTACATTGCTTAAGCACGCACACACACAAATTTCAAACCTGAAGATGTTCTTCAATTTGACGTTTCGGTTTTGTATCTATTTTGTATCGGTTCCACCAATGAATAGTTTTATTGATTGATTTTTTTTTAATCGTAATTAAGTTCTATTCTTAAGTTCAAATCAAACATTCCAATGAGCCCTTGGCCCAAGATACGTTTTGATTTTCTTTTCAGTTTGTTTCATTTTGTTGCATGACGTTTCATATGGGTATTTTACCCAATTCATTCATGATTTTTGGAAAAATAATCCTTTTATCACTTGGTTGCAGGGTATTTGAGCAAAACATAAATGTACTAATGCAAGTCTTCCATTTTGTGCATTCCTTCAGTTTTTTTTTTTTCTGGCAATCAGGTAGAAGTTTTCAACGCATAATAAACCAACTGACATAATTCATACATGTACTTCAGCCTGCAGTACCTGGTTAAAATTCCACCCAGTTGTATTTGTACACCAAACTTATCCGGTTTCAAGAGACAAGCAAGAAATCATTCTTTGTGATTGTGCCGACTCAATTGACAACAAAATTTGTATGTGAAAAAATAGGTGCTATTGTTTCACTTTCATTGTGAAATAAAAGAAAATGCAATTTGTGTCTCTTTTATTTCTTTTGAATTCCCATTTCATACTAAAAAAAATCTTATAGAATTTGTTTTTAACCTATCATTACATTATTTTTAATGAAAATAATTATAACATTTGTATCGTACAATTTGTTTGCTTGCAAATGAAGAAAAAGAACTCTATTTAAATACAGCAGGAGTATTTTAATAGTGGTTGTAATGGTCAGCACTTTGTTTTTGTCTCAATGGCAGCGATTTGGTTCAACACCTCTTCATAATGAACAACTCAAGACTTAAACTGAGATGCTGTTTGAGTGTCCTATTTAAAACGATTTAGAGAGTAAGCGAATGTGTACTACGGACAGTGTGGCTGTAGAATTGTTTGTATTCAAATTTAGCCAAAAGTGACTATATTTTCTGTTGTATTCTTATTATTATAATTTTTATTATTATTATCAACCATTCGTTTAGTGCTTAATACAAATTTACCATAGATACATATATTTTCCATTTCTATTATTTACTCCTTTTTTTCTATTTTGAAAAGTTTTGAAAATACCAGTATTTGTAGGTTAGGGTCACAAATACTTTCTGTTGTTAGTAACTGATACATAATGTATGTAGATGAAAACCTATTTTTCTTGTGTTCATGTTAACAGTGTCAGTGAATGTATATTTTTTTACTGAAAATAGTATGTATATTAGGCCTTTTATAGTTTTGGTTCAATTCTATCCAGTGGAATGATTAAAATCAGCTTTTGTCAGTGGAATATGATTTATTAATTAAACAAATTGGAATAACTACATGTATGGCTGCATTGATTGGGGAGCATATGCTACTTCTTGTGCACAGTACCTTCCTAAATAAAAAAATTAAAAATACTGAGTAAATAAATTAAACATTATTCTATAGGTTGTAATTAAATGGTTGAGGTTTTTCGTTATATTAATACAGCCTATTTGTCAAGTATTTGGGGCAATCATAGCTGTTTTTCACTTTATGAGCATCAGTTTTAGTTTTCAACGATTTTTTTAAATTTCATTTGAAGCTGGTAGTCATTTCGGGAGAAAAATGAGGGACAGAAAACATTTTGAACTAAAAGCAGTTTCCTCATATTTCAGGATGTTGAAGATCTTTTGTTTTGATAGACATGAATTGTTCGTTGAAAACAGAAACATGATTCCTGATTCGTAACTAGTGTAAAAGATAGATATCAGTGCAATCGAAGTGAATAAATTATTTAGTTTTTCTTCCGTTTTTTCTTTTGTAGCATACACTTGACTCGGTCTGTTTGGATTTCGTTCTACACTTTCATTTTGTTTTCTTTAATCAATTACCTGTCCGATTTTAGAGGGAAACTCAGCAGCGGATCCAGGAATTTTCATAGGGGTTTGTCAAGTATAAATCCAAGAGTTTTGATGTCGGGGGGGGGGGGGTCGACAGCTACAGAGACCAAAGGCCTCAAGCCCTGCTCCTGCCGTACTATACTGTTTGTTTTGGATAGAAAGTTGTAATAGTTTATTAACATTGGTAAGATGGAAGAGAGCTGTCAGCTCCCCCCCCCTCCCCTATATGAAAAAGTCATTAGAAAAGAACGAAATCGAGAATACGGTGAGATGGATTTACGTTAGCAGGGGCGGATCCACCGGGAATCTGATTTCCCCCCCCCCCCCCCATGACCGCATAATATAGCTGAACCCCCTCTTGGTGTCTCAGCTCCCCTCTTGATCCAAACCTGGTTCTGCCACTGCAAAGGATTCACGCTTGTGAATACAGTAGGTACTGAAATGAGTGACGATGCAGACGGATTCACTACTCTTATCTCTGACTGAGCTCACCATACTTACATTCAAATAAACTTTGGCCTGCGAATACAGATTTTTATGATTATCATCCACCCATTTTGTTTTTGCACAAGCGCTCCTTTACTTTCAATACTCCCCCCCCCCCCCCCCAATCCATTCCAAACCGCTCCATTCTTTCCTTGTGGGTCTTTCAGGTTTAAAACCGCAAGCTTTGCTCATGCATCCACAGTGCACCCAGCCCAAATTCTTGAAGTGCGCCCCCTGTAGTTCCTAGTGAGCATTTCAGAAAAACCACTTCACTTCAAGTTGCAAGTTGGAGTTCCTGAATGGCTTATGCATTTTCTCATGGCTTTTCCAATTTTAACGGGTTGGTTGACATATTTTTTCCCCTGTTCCGTTTTTATTCAAGAATTCTCAGAAATGAATCTGGTTGTTAAAATATATTTAAAGCAATAAAGTTGTACAATAAAGCATAAGTTGTGCTTTTTTTTTTAAAGCAGTGAGAACACTGCTTTAAATGTCCACTTCCTCACTCACACCTGCCCGGGGGTAGACTGTTGGCCCCCTCGACCGTCATCACCTCAGGTGTGACATTCCCCCTTCTAAACAACTGGCCAATAAATTCAACCCCTTTGCTCCATAAATTCCCGTCTTCCCCGCGTCTGGTGTTAGCCTAGCCCCCCCCCCCCCCCCCCCCCCCCAACTCCATGTTGCCCGTGTGGTGCAGACAACCATATGCCTGGGGGTTAGCGACTGAGGTCCATCCCTCCATTTGTCAAGATTACAGCAGGTACAATATCGTACCCTTCATCGCTTCCCTACCACTCGCTGTGTGGTCTGCCCTTGTGTCGGCTGCACTTTTTTTCTGAAGGGTGCGATCGGTGACTATTCTGTGGGAGGAAAGTTTGTCTTTTCCTGGTGCCTGTGGACAAAATTGTATTGTAAATAGTCAGTCAAAGTGTACCTCCGTACCCCATAGTCAGTCAAAGTGTACCTACGTACCTCATAATCAGTCCAAGTGTACCTCCGTACCTCATAGTCAATCAAAGTGTACCTGCGTATAAAGTGTACGTACCTCATAATCAGTCCAAGTGTACCTCCGTATCTCTTCCCCTCACAAAAAGAAACGGAGCTGTCCATTTGTGAAGAAAAAAAGCAACGAAAATTAATTGGTTTTGTAATTGATACATAAAATAATAAAGGGGTATCATTTTTTAATATATGTCTTCTGTCGGGAGGCATTAGTTTTAAAGATGACCCTACCCTTATTCCTAAAAAAAAAACCGTTGCCTGAACAACATTAACAGTGCATTGCAGACGCCTTATATTGTTACTACTGGTCTGTATTAATCATTCCCAACTATTTAAGTTTTGTAACTATTTATTTAAGTTTCACTTTTGTTAGATTTAAACTTCATTGTTTATTCACGGGTGGCTGGCCACGTACGGCACAAGTTTGGCTTTCTGCCAGCCTATAGCATTCATCACCTGATATCTGTATTCTGTAATTTTAATTGTTCATTAATGTAATTGTGATGTCTGGAAGTAAATCAAATTAAATAGTCTGTTTATATCAATTTCTCATATATCCCCCTTTAAATTGTAATCCCTAAAGAACAAGCTTAATAACATCTTGAAGGCCCCCCCCCCCCCTACATCTCTCTCGTGGCACAGAGAACCTAGCGATATTATTGTATCATTTTGATCATTTAGCCCTTAACTTTGACCGACAGCTTGAATCGCAGTCAGTAACTATTTCATTTCTGTTAATCCTCGTGTCATGGAGCAGTCGTCGTGTTCCGTTGCCAATATGTCATGCCTTGTTAGGGACTGTCCAAAATGTTCGATACTTCGAATTAATTGAATATGACTGTATAAGACATAAATAATCTAGAACTTGGGAATTCCACATGAGACCAAAATGTTATTATAATATAAACAGGAAAGTTAAGCATCATTGTCCTGCAAATGAAATAATATTTATGAAGTTTTTCGTATATTGGGGTTTTGCGTGGCACATTTTGTACCTCGGTCGTAAATTGATCGCGCGCCACCACGTGGGCAGCTCAGGTATGATAACTTTAAAATCCGGTGTAATTATGAAACCAAAGACAGAAAGGAAGCAGAAAAAGAAACTCCCGAATCCATGAATTAAAAACTAGTTAAGACTGGCCACCACAGAATGATCAGCCAGATCATTTGTTATTATAGAAAATAATTAATTAATGATGTATAAAAACTATTTATCTTAGTCTCATCTCATCGCGCATGTTGAGAAAGTGTATCATGATTATCGCGGGTTGGTAGAAGAATCAGAGGTGTGGCCATAAAACGAAGGAGGGGGCCGAAGGGGCGTCCCCCGCCCAATGGAATAAAGAAATTCGGGAAAATACTGAAAAGGGAAAGGAAAGCGATTAAGTTACCTTTTTCAACCACAGTGTGGTGAAGTCTGTCTGGTACGTATTGAATGTCAAGACACTTTCTCCTTCCCCTTCCCCTTTTCAATTATACACCAAATTAACCACGTTTTCAACGACATTCCTACGAGACCACGATGGCCGGATTATAGTTCCCCCGTCCCTTCCTCTCCCTGACCGGTCGCCAACTTCTCAGAAGCCCGCTCGCATTCTCTGTTTCCAGCGCACTCTCTCGCCTACACAATTGTTACGTCAAGACTTGACAATGACCGCGTCTCCACGAGTGTTGGGTATCCGTCAAATCGAACACATTTCCCCATCGGCTATGCCTCTCGCGTCCGCTCGGTTCATCTGTTGTTTTTGTAGCACCTCATCGGATTGTCTTCATTTTCACCTTGTCATATTTTCCCCCATAACGATTGACAGGGAGGTATCATTATTATATGAGGATGTGTGCGCGCGGAAGGTAGGGGTTGGGGGATGACGATCATTGCTGAGGCTGGACGGGGGTGGAGAAGAGTGTGTCCTACTGACATAATCTCTCAACCTCAACCGGGAGATTTTGTTCTTATTAAGCACTCCTTTAAGTTTGTGTGGGAGGGGTTTCTCTATTTTCTAAACGAGGGCGCCCTTGAAATACCAGCAGGCTTCAATTATCATAGGTAGGACGCAATACACCGCCTAAAGTGTAACTCCATGGTCGAAGCATAACACAATCTTGCGAGACATCTGACCAATCCAGTATAACCCGTCGAATCGAAGCACCCCCTGATGTTTCCGCTATGCCATTTCCAAACAATACCCAAAACGCCGCAATTGAGAAATTGGTTTTGAACAGTGGAAGTTAATAATAGAAAAACAACAGTTCGGAAGAGGTTCCTTGTTTGTCTATCAATTAAGTTAGCAGCAGGAGGTATAAAGTGGAGTAGCACTTATCTGACAAGGGACCGGATCTTTGGCAGGGTACTTGGCCGGGGAATCCTGGTTGAGCACGGGGCGAGGAATGCCGCCGCGCCGCTATACATCTTGAAAAGCTCCTTCAGTCCAATAAACAGAGATGTTGTTTTCTCTCCTTTCCCTGATCTGTTACTTTAGATCCTCCTTGAATTTTTATAAAACTTAAAACGTAAGCTCCATCTGAAACAACTATTTCTACCGGTATACCCCAAAATTAAACAGGGATAATGGTTCTGTGTGTTCCATTGTACGTTTCTTTCATTCTCAAATCGTAAGAAAGATCTTTACGAGAGAGATAAAGAAAACAATTATCGGCTCATGAACTTTGATTTAGGATTATTTATACATGCGCATCACAGAGTTGTTTTTCAAAAAATGGCTAGATTAAATTTATGCATGGCCCCGAACCCCCCCCCCCCCCCCCCCTCGACAGATTAGTGAGAACTCTGTCATTTTCTGCTCTTTTTTGTTGTTGCATTAATTGGGTCTATCTAGACTCATATATGTAACACTTTAAACTAACTCTCTTAGGGCATTCATTTTTATGAAACGTTTTTGAAGTGTTTTAATAAACATGCATAAAACAATGTCGAGGCTTAACGACTCGCGGACTGCATGGTACTACATTATTTTTGTGTGTGTGATGTGAGAAAAAAATCCTGTGTGTTTCTCACAATTATGTCCGTACGAATCTCGGGCTACGACATTACCCAGTCTAGCGCCACCCAACGGTTCACCGGACTGTACGGACATCCTTTCGCTTGCTGGGTGTCATCTATCTACACCATTTTACACCCAGTTAAAATTGTTCAAGGGAGCCGCTGCATTACATGGGTGTTACTCAAATTTGCCCGGTTGGCAATCATCATGTCTATACCTGACCACACCACATCGGCTCAATAAACACTGTTTTGGGAACGATAGTTAAACTGTTTTACGCCGTTGAACCGGGCCGCCCGGGCTTGCGAGTAAGCAGCCAGCACAAGCGTTGATTTACGAGGCTCTATATAGATCTGGCACTCCGTGAAAAGTCGGCCGCTCTCAAAAGACGAAAGCGCCAACATATGGAGATAGAACTGTTATTGTTTCAATTTT